GAGAGAGAGAGAGAGAGAGAGAGAGAGAGAGAGAGAGAGAGAGAGAGAGAGAGAGAGAGAGAGAGAGAGATCATCAACTTTGAGTCTTCGACCTTGCTGCTTCAAAAGTAGCCCGCTGACCGTGTAGCCATAATCAATCTACACACATAAAAACAAAAGAAGATAAACAGAAGCATTAATAATGGACGCAGTTCATAACGCAAAACAATAAAATCCATTTCTGAAATAAATAAGACAAGAGGAGAAAGTGTACATTGTTGGCATGAAGATAAGAAACGGGTTTTGGTTGCTTGGTCCTCCCATTCTATACCTTCAATCCATTCTCTCTCCCCATACATTATGATGAGTCCATCTTCACCCTGCTTCCCACTTTGGGAGTTGAGTGGAAGCTTTTTTAGATTTGGACATCCCTTTACTACCAAATCCTGTAGGCGTGGAAAGGGTAGAGGATTCCAATATATATTCTTCAGCTCTGGTACATTAATCAACGCAAGACGATTCAGCTTTTGAAAAGGAACAGTCCCTGATTCAATTCCACCTCTGAAAGCTTTCCCTTTGTTTATTATATCTTCTACATCTATTCCATTCTGAATTACCAGAAATATAAGATTTGGAGCAAACATAAGAAACGTCAATTCCTTGAGGCATTTGCAATTTATTAGAATCACGAAAGAGAGGCTGGAGAAGCATATTGTTCCTATCTTTATCTCAGAGATTCTGCAGTTATCCATGCGGAAAATACGAAGCTTGTCCATAATTACCGGAAGTGATACTCCAGATGATTCCAGTTTCATATTCCTTATACCTAATCCTCGCGTACAACTCGTCAACCTATGAGAACTCAAATATTTCTCCCACAGAGGTAGAGGATGATCCTCGAATGCTGTGAATAAAACTTCCAAATGTTCCAAGGTTTCCAACTCCTCTATTGTGCCAACATCCCTCGGAAAATATAATTTTAATATTTTCAAATTATGCAGCCTTGATATTCCAGCAACACTCGTACATTTAGGCAGCTCCAAACTAATTAGCTTTTTCAACTCTTGTAGGAGATCAATATGTAAATGACGTATACCCGTTCGATTCAAGTTGAGATACTTCAAGGAAACTAGTTTTGATAATCCTTCGGGGACTCTTGAGAGCTTGTCATTATATGATAGATCCAAAACAGCAAGCTTTGGCATGGACTTGAAGAATTCACTCGAAATATTTTCCAAAAGGTTATGTTGCATGAGAAAAGTTGTCAGTTCAATACATTCAGGACTGCCAGCAAGATGGAGAATCTTGTTATTCATCAATGACATCCTTCTCACAATAACATTTGGCATTTCACTTAATCCTACACCTGCATGCACAATGTAAGCTTCCTTTTGTGGTCTCAAATCAGATGTGATCCACAAGGCCATGTCACGAACAACATCATGCATACGCAAAAGTTTCATATCAGGCAATCCAGTCTCCATCAGCAATGATGCACGAACCAGACTACCAATTATCGCATAACCCTTGTTCTCTGCCCTTTCGATGCCTTCACTTGCATCTATGATCCCTTCGCATATCCAATATTCTATCAATGTTTCTTTAATAATGTTATCATCTTCTGGAAATAAAGCGCAGTACAGCAAACAAGATTTGACATCCTCCTCTTTAATATTATCGTAGCTATACTTCAAAAGCGGGAGGATTTTGTCTTCCATACCTGAAAACTCAGCGGCATATGAATTTAACACATCGACTGCATGTCTCCATTCTTGAATTGTCCGTTTGCTTGCCATGGCTTCGCCAATGACGTTAAGTGCTAATGGTAGACCATGACATTTTTTAGCAATTACGGCTGCAAGCTCTGGTATGTTTGGATCACTTCTTAACGTGATCTCTCCAACTTTCTAATTAAACAACTCTAACGCATCTTGAGGTGGCAAGCACTGGACTTCCATCTCAGCGTTAACTCCCATCCGACCACAAACTTCTTGAGAGCGAGTGGTGAAAACTACTTTACATCCATTTTCTCTTTTTGGGAAAGGGATTCCAATCTCTGTTAGATCTACTTTTTCCCATATATCATCCAACAGCAACACAAACTTCTTCCTCTTTAGGACATTGTGTATGTCACACGCCTTTTGATCTTTATCTTTATGGTTCCATGCTTCTCCACCTAGCCCTAGTTTATTTGCAACCTCGTTTTGAATCTTATCAATATTTAGATCCTTGGATACCACAACCCAAATCACAACATCAAAAACATTATTTTTTCCAATAATTTTATTGTTGATCTGAGAGAGAAGTGTAGTTTTTCCAACTCCCCCCATACCGTACAACCCCATAATTCCCACACCATCTCCCATGAGACGGTTCCATACCGTTTCAAGAAATTCTTCTCGACCAACGATTGTAGGTTGAATAGGCCTCTCTATCACTTCAGACGCTTGAGCTTTCTCAGCAACAACTTCAAAAACCCCATTAGATTTAAGATTCTCAACCTCCTTCAACTTTAAATAAACCCGTTTACCATAGCGGTAACTCAACTTTAAACTTTTGGAGCATAACCCGCAAAGGCACAACCTTTGAAGCTCAGTTGTTCTAACACTAAACAAGTCATTAACTTGGCTTTCAATGTTCTCAACTCTAGTAAGCCATACCTGGACTTGGGAAAGCTTTTGTAGACCTTTCATCTCCTCACGCTCCACCCTTCTTGACAAATCATCTCGCTTTGCCTTCAACTCTTCCATGGTTGCCTCCAGCGCTGTGAGATTTTCCTCAAGGTTTTGAATATATCTTTGCTTGACACATAACCATTGAGAGAATTGATCCAAAACTTTATCGCATGATACTGAGACAGAGAGACAACCACCCATCGTTGCAGAGACAGATTATTTTTTAAAGAATTTATTTTCAGAGGAAACAAATTTGTTGGGATAATTGATAGGACAGAGAGGAACAAGGTTGCCTTACAAAGATGTACAATTGAGAGAGCATGAAGCTTGTGCTTTTATGGATTGCCCAAAGATGCATGTAATTGCTTCGCTCAAACATCTATAATATGCTTTTGAAATTCAAAACTCACGACAAGATCATCTAAAAACAATTTCCTAAGGTATTTTTACAACTTAAAGTTAGTGTCAATTATATTATTTACTAGGTAATAATCCCGCCTATTATTAGTTTTGTTATCTTTTAATAAGGAAACATTAAATATGTTTAATTAGTCGATCCGCGCTACACACAAAATGTGTTTTATGTGTAATGTATATAACTATATTATTATTGTATATAAAATATTCCTTTTAAATTTGTTTTTGTTTTGAAAAAATTGGGTATATGTTATGCATAACTCATTGTTTTTGTTTTTGTCTTTCTTTGTTTTAGTTTTGGTGCAGTTAACTAATTTTTTTAATACAATTGTTTAGATTGTTTTAGTGGAGCTATGTTTTATTTTTATTTTTGGGCTGTAAAATTTTTAGCATATTTTCTTTAAAGTTTTTTTAAGTATTATGTATTTAATTCGTGACATTAACATTTTCAAATCTACTATATTTTATTTTATATCTTGTTCTTATCTTTCTTACTTTATTTTATATTTGGTTTATATTTTGTGATTTTTTTATTATTTTGTGGTTTTGCATCAATATGTTAATTAAGTTAATTTGGATTTAGTGACTAAAGAATAAAATTTATTTAATTCACTGTTTTTAATTTTCATAGATCTGATGAAAATGTGAAAAACTATTGTGAATGGGTTTTATACATTTTATTGTTATGATTTTTATTAGATTTTTTGAATTTATATATTTTCTGTTATATATTTTGGGTTTTGTAATAAGTTTTTGAGAAAAAAAAATTTGTTTATTTAGTTGGTGTATAGTTTTTGATATGCTAAAATTGTTCTTTTGAATATGTAACGTATCGGGTTCTTGCTCGTTGTTAAAAGGCGCTGTGAACTGACTTGTATTGTTGTAAGTCTATTACATGGTTTTTTAGCGACCCTTGTGTAGGTAAATTTTTGGTAGGTAGTATATTTAATTGGTGTTTTTGGAATTAAATATTATTGACTAACATTACAACATCGGTTTATGCTTGATTATTGTGTGTTACATATTGTTTACGTGAGTATATGCTGAGAAACTCCTGAAGAGAGAGAGAAGGGCTTCCATGCGCGTGCTGCCGCCGCTGTCCGACCAGTTCGGCTCGGCTTGGGTTTGGATGGAGGACCTTTGGCCCCGTAAGAAGTTATCTTTTTGAACCAAGTTAAGCTCAACGTTTGCTGTTTAAATATCAAAAAACAGTATGATGTTCGTGTATAAACGACATGTAGTTTGTCTAAAAACAACATGGAGTTTATCTGTTTGAAATAAATCAAAACGAGTCAACAAAGAGAGATCTTGCGGAGAAAGTTTCTCAACTCCACTCCTGAGATTTCCGTGAGATTTTCGGTAACGTGGTGCAACAGTTATGAAAATCAAATCTCTTTCTCCTCTTTAAATAATCGTCTTCTCCTCTCTCATTCCTTAACTTTTTCACACATAAAAAAATCAGCAAATCTCCTAAAGTAAGTTTTAAAGAGTGTTTCGTAGAATTTCTAGTTTGTTAGAACGTTTCATAAGTGAAGCGTGATTTGCCAGCGATGGTTGTATCCTGAGACTCAATATTTGTATAGTTTTGTCTCACTACGGAGCGAATACTAAGAGTTAAGAAAAAAGATTTATCTCGCCTCCATGTATATGTTCGTCGTATAGAATCGTTGATTTCCTTAACTTTGTCTTTCTTATATTGTCTATGTCGATCCGGTTTTCCGGCTTCAACAATCTTAACTCTTAATCGCTTTGTATCTAAAGCTTAAATCGGGTTGAAAAAACGATGTATAGAAACGGATTTTGGAACCGTGTTTGCGATTTGCTCTATATAGGGATTTGAGTGTAAATTTTTGTTCAATCCTTTTAATTTGGACTCTAAATTACTATGAACAGTCTGATTTGAGTGTATATTTTGGATGAGCAGAAACTTGGTACTGGTCTAGCTCAATCTCCATTGGATAGGATTATTGTGAGCTGTACTTCAGAGGATCATCGTGAGAAGCTTTCACGATACAGGAACAAGAAGAGCAGGAGAAACTTTGGGCGCAAAATCAAGGTATACAAACAAAACACTTTAAATGATTATCAAAAGTAATCATTCTAGCTAAAGAAAAAACATTTTGAAGACGTTTAACTGATTGAGAACTAATTTTTTTTTAAGCTCAAAGTAACTCAAGATTTGTTTGGTTTGGTGTCAGTATGCTTGTAGGAAAGCTCTTGCAGATAACCAACCAAGGATCCGAGGAAGATTTGCTAAAACAGAGGAGTGGAAGTCAGAATGGTTTCAAAGGAATGGGATGGGACTTTGTGCGAAAAGGAAGAACTTGAAGAATAAGGAGACAAGGCCCATCTCATTAGAAACTAGTTTTGTGTTATATATAAAACTCTATGTTAATCTTAAAATGTTATATAAGCATTCAAATTAGTTCTTGTATATTAAGGAGTTCTCTAAATAAGCTTTTAAGTCATGTAATGGTGGTGAGATGTGTAGATTATCTCTATAATTGCTATATAATTATTTATTAGATAATGTGAAGTAAAAAGTGATTTGATATTTCTTTGCTTGTAAGCACCGCAACAAGTTAGATTTTAATCCCTTTTGAACACGTAGCGGTGGTTGTTCGGGTTCGGCTCGGGTATTTTGGTATTGAGATCTAAAACCCATTTGGCTATTTTTATATATCGGGTCAGCATCTGATATTTTTGGTTCAGGCACTACAAGAAAACAGGTCGTTTCCGACTACAAAATGAGTCGGCAATCAGTCGCTAAATGGCTTTCCCGACTGATTCACGACTGACTAGAGTAGTCGGAAAACACCTAGTCGCTAAATCATTTCGTAGGAAAATAGTCGGCATTTACCGACTGAGTTGCTACTATTTTCGTAGTCGTAAATTCAGTCGTTAATCAGTAGGCAATTATCGACTGGCTTACGACTCATGTAGTGACTATATTACGACAATGTACTGACTGATTTTAGCGACTGAATTTAACGACTGCATTAACGACTAAATTTCTTAGTAGGATAACAGTCGGTAAATTTGTGCGACCAAATAACGACTGTTTAGTGACTACATGGCTTAAATTTGACGACTAATTTCGTGACTGATATGTGACTGTCGTAACATATTTTTGATTTGTAAATACATTATTTTGGTGTTTTTTTTAAATTTTTCATAATTTGTTATTTAAATCTGCTAATAATAATAATTGATATTAATAACTACTAAAAACGATTTTGAAATCATTAAATGAGATTAGACATATACCACAAACAACCAAAAGAACTCCAATACTTAGGAGTTTTCAAGTCTCAAACATCCAAAAGAACTCCAACACATAAGGAGTTTACAAGTTTTACACATCCAAAAGACAGAGTTTAAGTGAAAGGTAAAGGGAAGACCTAAACATGATGGGAATCAGATGAAGCTGTTTCTTTGGAGACAAAGTCCAAGAATCTCTGGTCTATGGTGCTCAAGAACTTCTTAACTATTGAGAACTCTTGGATTGTAGCCTGCTGAGTAGCTATAACTCTAGAACGCTCTTCCTCAACCTCTGATGCAGCAGCAGCAGCTTGGGCACGCTCTTGCTCAGCCTTTGCAAGAAGATCAGCTTGCTCTTTTATTTGGTGTTGAGCTTCATCAAGTTGGCGTTGCAATTGCATGAAGGAGGACAGGTTTCTTGGGTCATATGGCAGTTCAGTAAGCTGGTTCTTCAAGCTTCCAAGACCATAAATTTGTCCCCTGTCATTGGTGAAAGTGGACTACAAAAAGAACAAGTATCATACTATCAACGACAAGCAAAAACAACCAAAAATATAAGACAGACTTTAACCAAAAATATAAGACATATATATATTTTTAAAGTAAGAAACCCAACCTGAATAAACAGCTCATTCTCCTCTTCTATTGATAGTGGTGGATGCTGCCTGTCTGAGGTCTCGGTTTGATCAGTCTGAAGGGTGGCGAACTTAGCTTCTTTTTTCTTCTTGAAAGCCTCAGCAACTTGTTCAGCTTTGAAATCACTGAAAGTTCCATCTGATTTCGTATGAGCTCTGATGAATACTTCAGCAAATCTCACTGGTCTTCCTAGTTCAACAACCTCAAGTGAAATGGAAAAAAAATATCAGTATAATTAAAAAACCAAACATACTTATCAGACTGAACCACTAAGCAGTAGGGACTTACCATCTCTTGTTGGATCTGCATATAAGACTTCGGGCCAGAGTTATGTGTGTAAACACCAAGGCCTTGACGTTCAGACAGTCTAGCTGTTGATGCTATCAAGCTCTTTGCAACCGCAGCATCAGTGTCCC